GCAAGAACGACATCATGCTCGTGCCCAGCGAGGGGGAGGACAGCCGGGGGCCCCTCAACGTCATGAACGTGGTCAGCAGCCCCTCCCTGGCCACCTCGCCCATGTACTTTGACTACCAGACCCGCCTGCCCCTCAGCTCGCCCCGGTCCGAGGTGATGTACCTGAAGCCCGCCTCCAACAACCTGACTGTGCCACAGGGCCACGTGGGCTGCCACACCAGCTTCACGGGGCAAGGGACTAACGTCACGGAGGCTCCCCCCAGCAGGATGTCCATAATTCAGGTAGGAATCTTTTAGGGGTGCTTTTTGTGTGTTCGCAGAGACCACGGGGGTACCGGGGGCCTAACAGCACCCCGCCTTGAGGCCTCTTCTTCTCTCTGTCGATTCCCAACCAGGAGGAGGGCTGCTCCTAGAAACAATAAAAACAGAAACAAAAAACCCTGTAGCAATAAAGCGTTACTGCACTTTGAAATAGTTGTGGGATCTAGAACCACCGTGTTAGGTTTGTGGCTTAGTGGTACAGCATCTGCTGGGCAGGCAGAAGGTCCCAGTTTCAATCTCCAGCATCTCCACCTAAAAACATCAAGTAGCAGGTGATGTGAAAGTTAAAAGCATCAAGTAGCAGATGAGATCTGGGACCCTGCCAGTCCAGAGTAGATCATATGGAGCTCAATGGACCAAAGGTCTGATTCAGCATAAGGCAGCTTCATTTGCGTGGAGGCACCCTTGCAAATATATTAGGGGAGGCGCTGTGGCACAGCGGAAGAGCCCTCCGCTTGGCACGTGGAAGGTCCCCAGTTCAATCCCTGGCATCTCCAGTTAAAAAAGGATCAGGTGGGTAGGTGATGTGAAAGACCTCCACCTGAGACCCTGGAGAGCTGCCGCCAGTCTTGAGTAGACAGTCCCAACCTCGGTATGAAGCAGCTTCATGTGTTCATCAGGAAAGGATTTTTCACCTAGAATGTTCCGTGGAGAGATGAAAGGTGGTATGAAGACCTTCTGCCACTTGTTGCGAAGTGGAGATGGCAGGCATTGTTCACTTTCGCATACACACACACACACACACATTTGAGGTTTGAGCGGAAGAAAACTTGCAGCGCACATAGCTTCCCATTTGTGCATAGAGGGAACTCCATTACAAAATGTATACTTTTAATATTACAAATGACCTATTAAAATATACGTGCCCATTAGATATTTATTTTGGACACAGAGCAGTCTCTCTTGGGACCTGCCTCGTAATTTCCCCTGATAGATAACAACATTTGGCTTAAAAAAAATGGTTGAGTTAAATTAGCAAGCATGGCCGAATGCAGCCATCGTTAAGTCCCATGAAGTCCCTTTGATAGCTTGCAGGAATGATTCAAGCACAATCTTAACCCTCCCATTTAAATCGATGGGATTTGACAGTGCCTCGTTGTGTCTGGATTGTGCCTTCTATCCGTAGTTGCAGTGTAGGAGACGGAAACTAATTACGAGAAGATACATTATGCCACCAGTTGACAAAATCATATTTCTGGTTGGTCTGCTGTCATCTTTTGATAGGTAGGAAAAGGTTTAGAAATGGTTCACGCATGCATGACCTCTGCTAGGGAACTGGATCCAGGGGTGACCCGCATGTGTGACTGTTTGCACATCACTCTGTTCCCAGGGTTGGAGATTTTGGCAGACATTCCACAATCAAATGCAGAGAAATTGGGTGTTATGCAAGGGTGTGAATCTGCCTTCAAATGATTTTTAATTTGTCTAAAAAAAGATCACAGGGGTCACACTGTGCCTTAAATTATGCCTCTTGCTTTGGAAGCGAAGGCTGTAAAATAGATGCAATCCTTCCAGAATTTAGCACTTTGGAGCCCCAAATTATAATAATGGTGCTGGGATTTCAGTGTATAGTAAACTCTCCAGTTGAAATTGGTGGAATCTGAGTGTGCTTGAAATCAAAAGGCCGAATTGTCTCCTTTATTTTTAGAGGTATTCTCTCCTGTCAAGGTACAATGCTATACGTTAGCTTGGGCTTACGTTAAGGAAGTTCATAATTTGTTGTACTTCAAGGTGACCCCCCCCCCCAAAAAAAAACAACAAAAAGTTTTTTGAGGTTATCACCTCAAGGTCCCACTATAGTCCAGTGTTTTTAATGGGATTGTTCTAGATAAACTGGGTTGTGTGGATTGTGGCCCACCAACTTGGTCCCCAACTCTCCGAAGGAAGAGAGAACTTAATGAGTGTCACTGACAACAAAGGTGTTTCATGGGGATGCATGTCAAAGTCCGTCTATATATTATGAAGAAAGGTCGGGGGTGCGATGAATTCTGGACTGCACCACTTCTGAGCAGGAGTATGGGGTGATCTTATTTTGGAATGCTTCTCCTTCCCGGGGGTGTGTGTGGGGGGGTATGAATGAATTATCCCTGCACGTAGTACATTTATACACCAGGAAGAATATCCCTAGTATGCAAGAGAGGGGATTCAAAACTCTGACCCCCCCCCCCAAAAAAAATAATGAGGTGTCACAATCCAGAATCCCACCACCCTCTTCTGCAAATTAAGTTTTTGTGGCCCTGATGGAGAGGAGAAATTGGCTGGTGCTCATTTGGTTTTTTGGATCCATAGTAAATGTTGGAGGATCATTTACTGCAATGTATTTCAGGGGAGGCTGTGGACAAATATTGTATGTTTTATTCCCCCCCAGCCTTGCACTGCTTTTCCTATGTTGTACTGAGCCACAAGGGAATGATCCGAGGGTACCCCAAGTGACACCGATTCGTTTTATGCTCATGGAAGTTGTCCTTGGTTCATTGAAAAGAGATCTGAAATGGGTTTCAGTTCTGTTTTTTTACTGTTCTCTGTCCACCTACCTATCTCTGTAATCCTGTGCCTGCTTATTTGGGATCATGCTTCACTGTGAGATTTACACCTGAGTAAACAGATGTGGGGATCTGGGTGCGAAAGCTACTTCCCAACCTTCCTCTCCTCACACTTGCATGGGACTGAGAACCAGAACCCAGGGCAGGGATGTACCGATAGGAGCGGTCTGGATTCTCAGTGACTGGAAGCTGTTGGAGGCAGGGGACAGGGTCAGCCCTGGCCCGTCTCCGTGGCTGGTGGTCCTTCCCCTCTCTCCTGGGCAGAGGCGTGGCTGCCATTCATTCATTCATCTGGGGTACAGCAGGGTGTGGCATTTGGGAGCCACGTGGCAGCAAAGGCAGAATTCTGCCCTCAGCCTCTTTGTTGACCTGGACACCTTAAGGATTGGGATGGCCTTGGGTTGCCAACCTCCAGGAGGAAAGAAAAAAACAAGAAAAACAAGTACAAATAAATTGCAAGTACAAATAAATTTATCAGTTACAGTGTGAACAAAATTGATAAAGGATCACAATTTGTTTAAGGCATTCACAAACTCCATTAGATGAAGAGATCAATACACAGTTCCTATTGTTGATTTTAATCTCTTGGAATTACAGACTACACAGCTCAGTTGCCCTGGAGAAAATGGCTGCTTTGGAAGGTGGACGCTAGGGCATTATAACCTGCTGAAGTCCCTCCCCTCCCCAAATCCCACAGTCCCCCAGTTTCCATCCTCTAAAATCTCCAGGAATTCCCTGACCTGGAGTTGGCAATCCCTAGAATGGTCTTTTGTGTACATTACAGTTACATGCACAAAAATTACAGGGAGATAGATTCCTTCTGTTTTGTTTTTTTTAAAGCCTTCCTTTAATGCCCACCGTAATGGTTGGGCGTCTTTCTAGCAGAAAATATCCTGAGGACAGAAAGTGGGGGTGGAGGAGGAAGATACCCAATAAATGGCAGCTGTTGAGCTTAAGAAGACTGCAGTTCTGAATCCTGTAGATTTTTTCTTTTAATGTAAGTAGGGGTTTGTGTGTGCAAGGGGGGGGGGACGACGTTCCCATCTTCCCATGCAAGGTCAGTGTGAACTGTTTCTCAACCCACTATTGAGTTGTATCCCAGAAACAATTTCATTTTATGCTTATCATGGATGTGTGTTGCTATCAATTAGGTGAGCAGAGCGATACTCAGGATCTGAAATTGATTTTAACAAAAAGTGACACTTAGAGGAAGAAGATTAGGTTAGGGCAGAACTGGAGGTAATTTGATTTATAATTCATGCATTTAAAATGGGTATTTTTGTCTCTTCTTTGGGCTAGTGGCACTCGTTTAAGTCATGTCTTTTTAAAAAATATGAAATGGAGTAGCCAGAATACCAAAAGCAAAACAAAAAAACATGCCTTACCCCAAGTGCTTTCTATCCAGTGTAATAGCGATTTAAATATTGAGAATTATATTTTGCTAAAATGATATGATACCTGTCTAAAGCAAATAATGCAAATAGTACTGGTCCTAAATGAATAAGGATTTTAATGTAGTGTGAAATCCCAGTTGGTAAACATGATTTTCTTCTCTTAAACAGTGTATGCTGTGTATTATTATTACTATTTGTTCTGAGATCTATATAAAATTGCAAGAGGCATTTCCTCCCTTAAAAAAGGTGTTCTGTGGTTTCTGTAAAATTCTAACCATCCTGACTGTGGAAGGCCGTCATTCTAACGGTACCTAGTAGGCGTGCAGAAGTTATAACGGGTAGGTAGCGTAAATGTTCAACAGTGGACTAATGCCTCCCTCCTTGGACTTCAGAAAAATCAGGATGACATGGATCTAGATTCTAAATCAGTGGTGTTCCGTGTCATCCTAACTCCACATCGCAGCTCCACCGAAGTTCAAATTACTGCTTACGTATTTTAGAAACAATTGAATATTGCAATTTAAGTGGTTGCAGCGTAGCATTTCTGCAGGCTGTGGGTAAGAGACTCACTTGGAAAGAGGCTGAACAGTTCCTTCCAGCCCACCCAGTTAGTCATGAAGACCTGAAGTGCTGGTAGGGTTGCCAAGCCTAGGCTGGGGAATTCGTGGAGGCTTAGAGTCCTGGGAAGGGGCAGGGTCTGGAGAGGGACCTCTGCAGCACATCATGCTGTAGAGACCACCCCCCAAAGCAGCCTCCCCTCCCCAGGGGAATTGATCTCTGTTGTCTGGAGAGGAGTTGTAATTTCAGAACATCTCCAGCCCCTACCTGGAGGTTGGTAAACCTAGCTCCTGGCAAGAGGAAGAACAGAGACAAAGCTTTTCTTCCTTCCTTGGCCATGGAAGCTACTGTGGCTTAGAAAGCTTTGCCTCCTGAATTTGTTCCAAGTTGCCGGAGCCCTGCTGGACAGATCCTGGCCACCTTCCAGGAGGCAGGTCAAACACGGCCCAGGACACACACCCCCTTG